GAGGGTGATGCTTGTGGTGATGATGACGATGATGGCTGTGGTGAGGAAGATGCTGATGCTGCTGGTGGTGATGATGATGATGGTGCTGATGATGGTGATTGTCCTGCCACTGCGGTGGCGAGCGGTCTTCGGGCGGGCCGCGGCCGGCGCGCGTAATTTGAGTTGACTGCGCTGAAAGGCCAAGTGCAAGGACAGAAAGGACAAGGCAGTCGCTAGCAGTGACACAGAACGCAACGCGCGTGCGAATCAGGGCAGGGAGGGCGGGAAGGACTGACGAAGGCGCGCGGCTTGAAGATGACGCTCGGCGCTGGAAGCCTGGCTCCACCGCCTGCGCCAGCGCAGTGTAAAAATCAGTGGCGGTGTAAAAATCAAAGGCGCCGCGCGCGGCACGTCTTCTGTGGCAGTGTAAAAATCAATCGCCCCAGAACCCCGCAAGCGGGCCGGCGCAAGGTTCAGCCCGAAGGCCGCCGCGGAAAGCTGGGCGCCCAGAGCGGAGAGCAAGTGGTTCCACCGCGTTCGAAACAAATTCCAGGAGCCCCGACGAAGACCTGCCCGAGCAGCGAGCGCAATGCGTCGGATAGGTGCGACGGGTCTTCGGCTCCTCTGTGGAGGGATGCCCGGTTTCCAAGCGATCGCCGGGCAGCGAGAGGTCACATCGATGTACTCCGAACAGCTCCCCAGGGCGATGGAGCGCGATGCATCGAATCCCACGAGCAACAGCGCTGCCATCAATGGCCAGTCCCAGAGCAGGCTGCGGCCAACCACGGCACGAAGGAGCGCGCGAGGCAGTGGAGGGCGGAGCGCCAGGGGCTCGGCAAGCTTCCACTGTCTGGCCACATCCTGGGCTTCCGAAAGCAAGGCGCGCAAGTGAGGGCGCTCGGCCTTGGTGCCCAGGATGGCATGCGCCAGCGTGCAACGCTGGGGCCCCGCATCGTGAGGCCGCGCGAGATGGAATGGCGCCGGGGGAGCAGCTGCCTATTGCGGTGCAGCGTGGCAAATGCACTGCGCGAGTGCTTCGCGAGCCGCAGCTCGACGGCGTCGACAGATTTCGGGCGCCAATCGAGGCGTGGAGGAATTGAAACGAGAATTGCGCGCGAAAGGGGAGCGGGTGGCACGGGGGCTGGCGAAGCCCAACCCCAGGCCGCCCGTCGCCGTGGGGGCGGTGGCTGCGACGGCAGGGGCCGCCGTGGTGGCGGACGCGGCAACTGCAGGTGCACTGCAATGGCCGCGCGCGCGCCACCAAACCGGCCCTCTTGCCGCGCTAGCGCCACGCTGTTGCCAGCGACGCGCGCTGCGCGCCCCCGCCGAGCGGCGAAGTGCGGGGGCAAGCGCGCCTCCCTGACGTCGTGCTTGATGCCCGAGTCGACGGCGGGCCCCCCTCCGCGCGGCGGCGACAAGGGCGCGCGCATTGAGGGCGACGCGGCGCGCCGACGCTTCGACCTCAGACGGCAGCGCGTCGCCATCCTCGAGCGCCAGCCAATCGACAGGCGCCCGGGGCCCCGACGCAGCGAGAATGGACGCCGTCGCCAGCGGAGCCTCGCCGCCCTAGAACTCGCGACGCAGCTCAGAAGGCGCGCCGTGCCGCCCCCGCCCCGCCGGAGGGGGGCCCCGCCGTCCAGGCCCCCGTGCCGCGGGCAGTCGAGGACGTTTGCAACGGCCGCTGCGCGGCGCCGTTGGGCGGCGCCACCCCGACCGATTGCTTCGGATGGCGCGCCGCGACGGGGGGTCGAGGCCCCCCCCCGCCCTTTCCTGAGGTGCCCATCGGGGGCGTCGGCGCTCGTCGCCCCGGCGCCGCGAGGCCCGCGGGGGCCCTGGGGGCGCCCTCGGGGCAGGACTCGGAGAGGGCCCAGACGGCGTCCAGAAGGCAGGGGGCCCATCCGCGTCCTTGCCCTCCGCAGCCGCCTCAGGGGCTGCTCGCAGCGCGGCAGACTTGTGCAGATTGGCCGCGCGGCGGGCGCGGCGCCCTGGATGCGCGGGCTCGCGCCCCTCTGGCACGACGAGGGCCTCCGCGCATTGCGAAGGGCCGCCCGCGTGCGGGCGCCGCGCGTGGCCTGCGCTGGCCCTCGGGCAGGGGGCGTGGGCGTCCTCGCGTCTGCTTCCGCTCGCGGCGCGCATAGACGCGGGGTCTTCGGCGGGCCGGGCGAGACTGCGGGGGCCCGGGCCGACGAGCGTCCCGCAGACGCTGCTGGCCCGTCGAGGCCAGCCCGAGTCGCCCTGGCCTCAGCCCCAGACTGGTGGGGCACCTCGGCTTTGCCGCCCGCGGCAGCTCGCGGTGGCCCCGCCCGTTGGACGGGGGCAGCGCCCTTCGAGTCCTCGGCCATCGCGCGCTGCCGCCTCTGCCAAGCGCCGAACGTGCGTCCGATCGGCGACGCTGCGACCACGCGCGAGACCCTTCGCCGCGCCAGGGCGCGGATCAGATTGGCAACGGCGGATGAACGCGCGTCGCGGAGCTGGCGAAGCTCGACGCGACCGCGAGCTGCAGTTTGCGCGAGCTCCGGCGGGCTCGCCGCGGCCGGCGCGAAACCCGCGGGCCCGACGGCGCCGGCGGTGGCCCAGGCGTCAGGTGCAGACGCAACTCTGCCTCGGGTCAGCGACTCGGGCGGGCGCTGCAGGCGTGCCCGGCAGCGGTCTTGCCCTTGCGAGACCTTTGGCCCTGGGGCCGAGCCGCGGCCGGGGCGCGGGCGGCGGGGGCGCTCGTGCTTGAGGCGCCAACCGCAGAAGTGGCCGACCTCGCCGCGATGGCCTGGGCCAGTAGGGCCGTGGCGCCTCGCTGGGCGCGCCGGCGCGCGGCGGGCCCCGTGGGCGCGGCGGTAGAGGGCGGCTCGGCCGCCCGCCAACGCCGAGAATCGGCAGGCGGGCGCCGGGCCAGAATGGCCGTGGGCTTCGGGGGCAGCCTCCAACCCGGCGCTCTCGCTGGCGCCGTCGTCCCAAGACCGCGTCGTTCGTTGGGGGATCCACCCTCTTACTCGTGGCTGAGCGCGGGCTGCGGTTTCGCCCGCTGTCCGATCGGCGCGCTGCGCGGCCCGCGCGAAACGGCCGCGCCGAGGGCCGCGCGGGCCCCAGAGCGGCGCCTGGGGCCGCAGGAAGACCTGGGCTCGCCGGCGCCGCTCCAAGGCGGCCGCCCCAACGCCCGCGGGGGGGGGGGCGGCCGCCCGACCCTGGGGGGCGGGGCCCCCAGGGCTGCGCGCCAGCGGCAGCGCGACAACTCGCCCCCGCGACCCCGCGGGGCAAGTCGCTCGGGCATCTGCGAGAGCCGCGCGATCAGCTCTGGAGAACGACCCCACCTCCGCGTTAGCCGGCCACGCGGGATAAACGGGGGAAGGTAGGCGGGCGGCGCGATGGCGAGCGTCGGCGGGCGCATGGGGGCCCCCGAGGTTGGGGCCCCGCCGAAGCTGTGCGGTAACGCCGCGATGAGGGCATGGAACGGCCCTGGAGAGCTGCTTCGGCCGTGCGCGGTAGCGCCCGGCGCCGCATTGGATGCCCAATGCGCGGGGGTCCTCGTATCGGGGGCCTGGCGCAACAGAGCTTGCAGAAACTTCTGTAAACGGCCGCCTCCCGAATGTCGATGTGGCGAGGTGCGTGGAAATCCCATTCATGGGCTAGGTGTAGGTGGGAGCGAAGCGCCTCCGACAGCTCCGAAACCGAGCTCGGGGCAACTGGGAGCCCGAGAAAGGCGCCTCAGTGCATGGTGCAGTTGGGCGAGTTCTGGGCCCGAAGAGACGCCGCGGTTCAGCTCTGCGAGCAAGTGGCGATCGCGTAACGCCGCGCGCCGAACGCCGCGCCCCGGTTTGCGCCGCAACTCCGCGGAATGGTGCGAGCTGACAGGGGCGCGGGAGACTCCTCCCCATGCGAGAGAAGCGTCCGCGCCGGACGCCTCGGGGAGCGCCCTGCGCGAGGGTCAGGGGCGCGCGCGCGCGCAGGCAGCTCGTCCCGCGCGATGATGCGCGCGACGTGCTCACGTCCGTCACCTGTCCCGATGTGTAGGCGCGGGTAGAGGCCAACAACAGAGGCCGGCGGTGCAGAGTGGGCGGCCGATGTGCACTTGGATGAGCGTTAGCCTGCACAGAGCCACCGTTCGAACGATCGGGGCGGAGGCGATGCCAATCCCACCCTCCTCCTCGGCGCCGACGACGACCTTCTGGGTCGCGGCGCGGGTGCGCTTGCCTGGGTGCTGGCCGAGGCCCGCTCTGGGATATCCGCGGTCGCGCGCAGCGAACGGCGCCTGCCCCTGCGAGAAGGAACGCCGGGGCGAGGGGCCGAGCCGCTCCAGGAACGCTTCTGGGAGCCCATGTGATCTTCGATGTTATGCATTTCGACGTGGGGGCTGCTCGGAAGCGGCGAGCGCTGCGCGGGTTGTTCCTGGGGGCGGAGGGCCCCGTGGCTGCGCGGCGACCCTCGTGGGCGGCACTGTCGATTTCAACCGCCATGGTGTCGCCAATTGCGAGCGCATTCAGGCGCGGCGGCGCGTCGAGCCCTTCCGGCCGGGGTCGCCATGTCCCAAGCGGCTTTAATCGGCTCGCCCGAACTCGCAGCGCCTTCCGCTTGGCGCGGGCCAGTGCACATTGATGGCGCAGGGGCACTCGCGCAAGTCATCGCGCGAGACCGCTGGCCACCCGCCTGGAGCAAGTCTCACGCGGCAAAGCAAGAAACTCTGCTCGAGTCGCTGGGTGCTGGAGGAAATGCTCTGACAGCCGCTGTTCACCACTGCGGGGTTGAGGAATAGACGGTCGAAGTCGCTGTCCTCGGGGTCTCTGAATGCCCCGCGCGCTTCATGCGAGCAAGCCTTCAAGGAGGGAATCAAATGCAAAGCGCCGCAGGAGTCCCACTTCCGAAGACGCTCCCACAGGTCCGCGCGGTTCATGTGAACGCGTGCGCCACGTGGCCCTGGAGGCCACTCCCCAGACGGAAGGCGCATGACCTCTGGGTCATGAAAGGCGTCGCGAACCCGAACCTCGGAGAGGTAGGCGGTGGGATCAAACGTAAGTGCTCGGCCTTCGACCTTAATGCACAATGTCTTCCACCTGGGCGTAGCTGCGATCGACGCGGGGGGCCACGGCCAAGGCCTCTGTAGGCGCCCCCCGCCCCCCAAGGAGGACATCAAATGACAGTTCTCCCCGCGCGCCCGTCCTCGTAGGGCCCACTCTGGGAACCCTGGCTCGTCTGTGCCTTCGCCGCCCTTCGCCCCCGCCGTCGTTCTACGTGCGCGGGCTTTCGTCGGCCCTCGGCCCACCTTCGCCGAGGACTGGGCATGCCGACAACGAGGCCTTTTGTGGAAGGTCCCATACCGGGACTTCCGACGTCTGTTTCCTCCCCAAGCGGGCCCCAGAGTCTAGATCACCTCCATGGGACCGCCGCCCGCGTTCCTGCGCAAAGTTTGCAGGTCTTGGGGCCTGGCAAGGGCCCCCGGAAGCCGAAACCTGGCAAAAACCGTCCGTCGCGTTCTCTGTTCCACGACACGAGGAGGTCTACAGCGGGGTCTACAGTGGAGGCGCGCTCTTCGTCAAGGCTCGCTGAGCTTTTCTTGGCTCCGCGCGTTGCGCGGTGCCTTCTTCCCGCGGCCGTCCAGGAAGCCGCTCGTTCAGGGGGCGCTCGTGGTCTCCCCTCTGGTGCGCCTTTCGCGCGCGGGTTTTTAGGGTCGGGTTTCCTGGGGCCGCGTCCGCTCTTAGACTCCCCTCCCTCCCCTATAACTTTTCCAAAAACACTCCTTGAGGGGGGGGGGTCCTGGGGGAAAAAACCCATCAACCTCCGAAACCCCATTAAAAAAACGCCCTTGGGGGGATGTTTCTGGGGGGAAACCCACCCACCCTCCCTGACCCCCCCAAGAACCCACCTTGGGGGGCACCCTAGCGGGAATCCCCGCCCCCGTCGCGCAGATGCTTGTACGTCGCAGCGCGGCCGAGGCAGTCCGCACGCGCGCTCGGGCAAGCCGGGCGACGGCGTTGCGAACCGCCCTGGATGCAGGGAGGGGAGGGCGGGGGGAAGGGAGGAGCGGCCGCGGCAGGAGGGGCAGAGAGGAGCGGGCGCGGACGGAGGGGGGCGGGAGGAGCGGCCACCCCCGTCACGCAGGGAGACCCCTCTGGGGCCTTGGGGGCGGATCTCCCGCGGGCTCCACGCGCCAGCTGCTGCCAGGGCTGGGTTCCCGTCGTGAAGGCCTGGCCTGGTGGCGCCCCGTCCTCCCCCTCCCCCCTCTGCCGATGCAAACATGCCCTCCCTCCCTCGCCCTCCCTCTCCCTCGCCCTCCCCCTCCCTCTCCCTCCCTCCCCCCCTCCTTCCCTCCCTCCCTCCCTCCCTCCCCTCGCTCCTCCCCCCTCCCTCCCTCTCCCTCCCTCCCCCCTTCCTCCCTCCCTCCCTCCCTCTCTCCTCCCTCTCCCTCCCTCCCTCCCTCCCTCCCTCTCCCTCTCCCTCCCTCCCTCGCCCTCCCTCTCTCTCCGCCCTCGATGTGGCCTCAGCCACTTTTCGGGCTTCCGACGAGCCTCCGAATGGACGGCCCCCGCGCGGTGTCCTCCAAGAGCTCGGCATCGTGCCCCACCTGCTCGCCGGACGGCAGCTCGTGGC